TATTGAATTAGAGAATGATAATAAGATTGTGAAAATTCATTTAAGAAAGATTTATTCTATACTTGAATCTTTTCAAGCACCAAAAGTTATTATAGAGACCAAAAACAAAATTGAGATGCCACAACAAGTAATAAAAAATATAAAAGAGTAAAAAAAATTATTAAAATAATTTCATAATAATTTATGGACATGACATAGGATAATTTGAGATATTTTTGCTAAAATTGAAGAAAAATATTTATAAAAAAATATATATATGTATAAATATATTTTATTTTTAGAATTATATAAAATTTACCAAATATATTATAATACATGATATCAAAATGATTTATATCCAGCATATTATTTGGCTATTTATTTTTAATGGATTATTTATTTGATTATTATTATAAGTGGATTTAGACAAATGAGATATTTGGTCTTGGTATGTGAAGATTTATTAGACCTTGTATAAGAAATAAATCTTCCAAGATAAGAAGATAATTTTGACTTCGATACCAAAAATAATGAAGAAGATTTGTATAAAGATATGAAGAGCATAATATAAATTAAACAAGATTTGGATTATTTGGTGTATATTTGAAGATGCACAAGTTCAAAAAGAGTGGATGTCATGCCATAACATAATTATATAGTAAAAAATAAAATATAAATGTTATTATAGAAGAATCTAATTAAACGATGTAGTAGAGAAATAAAAATAAATAATAGAAAAGTAATAAAAAGTTTAGATTTAATATTAATTTTTATAGAAAGAACTTCAATTTACTTTGTAGAAGCATAAATGAATCAAATCAAAGTAAATGAGATTAGAAATTGATATAGGCTTATTTAAGAGAGAATTAATAATAGATTAAAGCAAAACTTACCTTAAATTATCAAAAAATGATATGCAAAGAAGACTTATTATAAACATGTATCAAAATTAGATTCTAAGATATAAAACTACATACCTATGGCGATATTAGGATTGTTTTTGTAAATTGGAGAGTGAAATTTGAGAATAAATTTAAAAAGAGATTTTTGAGTATTGATTTCATTTAATTTGGATTAATATTGTAATTATGAAGAATTTTTAAAGTTACCAATATATTTGATAGATTTAGATTTTAAAGAATAAAAATAAATTTACAAATTTCAAGATTTTATAAATTTCAAAGTATGTTTATAGATAAAAATTGCATAATTTGTTGTTGTACTTTTTTTAAATATGTGTAAAACAATTTAAGTCAATTAAGTGGTTAGATTGAAGCATATGAATTTTTTTGTGGATTATGGTCTTAGGTAATTGAGATTTAGGATCAATAAAGGATTTTGCAATCTAGCAATATCTAGTAATTTGATTAAAGAAAAAATTAGTGAGACCAATTTAGACTTGAATATCTATACATAACTTAAATTGTAGAATAATTGAATAGCTCAAAAAGGAGAAATTTGACAAAATATTATTTAAAGCTTTAAAAAAAATTTATATTTTTGTACCAATCTTGTATTGTATTAATTTTTTTAAGGTATTTTTTACGAAAATAGTTGCATTAGACTTTGCTTTAGATGTCTTATTATCATAAATAGGAAAAAATAAAAAAAATTCATCCAATAGCTTTTTATTCAAGAAAATTTTAGTAGCCAAGATTAACAATAAGATCTAAGACATTGAAATTCTTGCAATAAAAAATGGCCTTACCATATAAAAGGTACTTTAAGTCAAGTCATTGTATATATAAATTATAAGAACCTAAAGTATTTCATATCAATATATGGATGTATCAAGAAAAAGACAAATGATATTTCTTTTTGTAGAAATAGATAATAATTAAGAATTTGAAGTTATAAAAGGATTAGACTTATGAAAATACCAAAATAATTTGAAATATCTTATACATTGGCTTAAATATGATATTAATAAATACATATGGAAGCAATCTAAGTTTCTTTTAAATACACCAAATAAAGTGGATGCTTTTTATTGAAGTCCCTCATCAAAACTAAAATAAAGAATCAAGCAATCATTGCTATAAAAGAAACAAAGTTTATTAGAGATTTTATTTTATTTTTTTATCTTTGTTTTATACTAAGAAAATAAAGAATTAAAAATTAACATATTTAATTTAGGAGTTTTTGTTTATTGAGTTACTTAACAATATATTGAGATTGTTACAACCTTCTATATGAAATAATAAAGATGAAGACCTTCAATAATGACATATTCTATTTCAAATGTGTATGATATCTCAACCTTAGAAGAAGTCTTAATGTTTGGTAATATTATTAAAAGTAAGAACAATCTTTGATGGTATTTCAAATGTTTTATTTAAAAGTAGTTATAAAGATTTTAATAATAATCAAATATATATGTCTATATGTCCTAGTATGTCATACTATCAATGATTGAAAAGACCTATCAACTACCTTTAAATGGAACAAATAACAGAACATGTAGCAAATACAATTTGTCACATCTTAGACTTCTTCAACATATAATTACTATTTCTTGTAGAATTCATTCTTAAAAAGAAGAAAAGAGAGGATGAAAGAGAAAATAATACCATAGGCATATATAATTTCTTAAATAAGAAGTGTTAAGTAGAAGATAAATGAAAGTAGATTTGATAATATCTTATAGAGAAGCTTTTTCAAAGCTCTATAGAGACGAATTTGATTTTATATGAATTTGTAGTTGATTAATAGGTTGAAAATTTGTCTTGCAAGTTAAATATGAATTTCAAAAATTGGACATATATTGGAGGTTGTGTAGAATATTATTACATATTTTCTAGTTAGATAGTATATATGGAAGTAAGATTGAAGCCTTTTTTATTCTTGTCAATATTTTTTTTGTTCTTAGTCTAGTTACAAGAATCTTTAGTCTTCTTGTCTTTAGCAATAGACATTCTAATATTCATACTATACTACTTTTGAATGAATATATATATATATATATATATATATATATATATATATATATATCTTTTTAAGTGATTCAAGAATATATTGAGATTTTTATTATTTGTGATTTATGTCCTTAATACCTAAAAGTTAATTAAATTTTAGTAATTCTATTAAGTATGATTTTATAACCAATCTGAAAATCAAGAAAAACTTCTTTGAATCCATGAAATCTAAATTAGTTGCAACAAAATACCTAAAGACTAGGTTTATAAAATACAACTACATTGAATCTTTGCAATACATGATTTGTCTATAATTTTTTAAATAATGCAAATACTTATATAATATTTAGATATATTTTTTTATTGATAATAGATAGTATAATATAGTATTTATTGTCTTTGATAAACAATAGCAAAAGATTTGACATGTAGCCAAATATTTTGAAATGCTAATATTAAATAACTTAATGTTTTGTCATAATGGGATTTTTTTTTAAATTTTGGATCTATAGAGTAAGCTAAAATATAGTCAAAAAAAACTTTTAGATCTTTGTTATAATAGATATGTGACCACTATAAGAGATCTAAGAAGGTGCTTATCATTTAGTATTAATGTCTACTTGCAATAATTGCTTTATAGTTACAAATAGTCTATTTTCTTAGAAATTATATTTTTTTAATTTTTAAATAAATTATTCTATGAATCTTTCTATTTAAATAATTTTATTTTTAATTCAAATATTTTTCTTAATTGATATACAATAGATTAGAATATTTTTTAAATAATAATAATAATTATTATTATTTTAAATAATTTTAAATAATTTCAATCTAAGTTACAAGGTGGTCTTAATTAAGAGTTTATTTTTGTAATGAATGACTATTGCCAAATATAAGGAGACTATGAAGACTTAAAGTAAGACTAAAATACAAGAAGGGCATTCACAAGAGTTAAAAAAGTTTTATTCTTGCCTCTATATATACTATCTACTAAAAAACAACATGACAATGTCTCATGGGCAATGTAACATGTGCTTAACTTGTACAATAAGTTTTTGATATGTACACCATATGGCCAACTTGTAATGTAAGTGGCTAATATATATAATATATGGCCAACTTTTTGGCTAGATTTTTAATCTACTAATCACTTATAAATACTTATAGAGTCTACATCTAATCATAATAAAATATAATTATTTCTACCTAATTTTATATATTTTTAATTATTTTAATATATATACCATTACATATGGATATTTAAGATATCAAATATATTAAGTATAATAAACACAATTAATATATTTATTTTATGGCTAATCAAATCAAATATATAATTAAATATAAATTATCTATTTATAATATATATTTTATATATTGATGAACTATATATTATCATCCATCCATAACCTATTGATATTCGAATCAATAAAGATATATAATAGTTTAAAAGCTATTAGAAATAATATATATATATATATATATATATATATATATTATTTTAAATAAAACTTTCAAGGCAATAATTAATTATTTTTACCTTTTGGATTAATTAATCTTTATGATATTATCATTTACATAGAAACTTCAATTAATTTCTTAAGTAAGAAGGTGTAAAATAAATACCTATTATTGGTTTATAAATCCAAAAATCAACAACAAATTGATAGCTAGGACTATCTTCTTTGTGCAATTAAATCATTTGGCTCTATTTGCAATTGTATTTTATTGTTATGATGCAACAATTATAAAAAATAATCACAAAAAAGACAATATTATTTTTGTAAATGTTAATTTTAAAATTTGTAATAAAATTCTCAAGAATTTATTTTTTTATTTGTTTCTATTGCATTCAATTTTTTTTTTCTTGCAATTGCATAAGGTTTGTTGTAATATTTAGTTACTAGAAGTTTTACAATGCTTGCTCTACCAACATTTACATTTCATTGTCTCGATGTAATAACTAGCGGTGATTTCAACAAATTGATAACAACGGTGAATTTTTAAATGTTGTTTTTCACATTTACGCTAAGATTTGTCGTTTTCTATTTTAATTACAAATCCTGTGTTTAGCGGCAACCCAAAGGGACCCAACTGATTGCTCGTTATTTTTTGTTGTTACCTGCCTACAGCAATGGTTTCACAGTTGCAGATCGTCTGTTCTCTTGGCGACTGCGTTCTTTAATTTTTAAATTACTTGTCGCAGGAGTCTTTGCATTCGAATGTCGTCGTTCATAGTCCAGCTATTGTGCTAAATTTTCGTACACTGAATCGAAATGCTTTTTGATGATTTTTATTATTATTACTGTTATTGCTATTTTTGATAAAGCACCACTGCAAGAGAGAAATTTGGCGAACTTGTGTTGTGTCCCGTTCGAAGTTCCCAGCCCCAATTTCTTTTTCGAGGTCTTGCACTGGACAGTTTTTTATCTGCTACAGAAGGAAATGGATATTTAGTTACCAACTGTATGATTTGTGGTTTCATTCATGCAATAGTGAATTATATTCTGTATCACCATTGGACAGTCGCATGATTTTTGCATTTAATAAAATCGAGTTTGATTTCACCCACATCTGTTCTTTAACATCAGCTTGAACAAGATTCCTTGATTCGTCTCCAATTGCATTTACTCAGTAGTTCTCGTGATCTATTTGACTGGAGTTACCACATACTTTGGATTTCCATCTCATTTTAGGACAAACTTGCATTCAAATTCCTCGATAATGGTGCTTCTGCATGTGAAGCAGAAGGACGACAGACAGTTTCTATTTGAAGCTTCTGCAAAAGCTTCCGTGGACAGTGTCGTGAGAGAGCTTGTTGTCGTCAACAATCTGCAGGTGCGAATCCTAGGCTTACAAGAAGAAGTTAAGTGGCTTGCTCTCTACGGGCCCGCCAAACATCCCGATGATGATGAGGACAGCGATGATGAGTCACAGAACGGAAAGAAAATTCGAGGTCCTCACTACAGCAAAGACCCTCACTGTCGCCGAACTGGAGAAGGTGAGATTCTGTTTCTCAAATTCTAAAGGCACTCGGCACTTGCAGTCGTGATTACTCCTTTTCAATAACGTAGCTTTCTGGAGTGAATGCAAAGAGCAAAATATCTTACGTCCTGATCAGGCATGGAGAAGTGAACACTCACGTATTCTTCTGAGAGGTTTCATCTTTCTAGCGATGCCTGTTATTCCGCTGATCAATCGAACTTGAACTGATGGACGTGTATTTTCTGCGTTGTGAATGGTCACCCTCAACCTGCTTGATTATTCCTCGCTCTACCTTAACAAAGTCATGAGAGATAAAGAAGTTTATACTCGAATCTTTATGGACTTGTAACAGCCTGCGATCCTGAAGTGTCCAAGCAAATTACTAACACGATGGCGGACGCCGTCGCTCTTGTTTCCAAGGTACTCCTCGTTGCCTCATTTCCGATCTCGTTTGGAAGAAAAGGCTTTAAATCATTTCACGAATAATCACACTGTTCTCAGCTATTTGTAAGAGATGGCAGGAAAATGTAATGGCCAAAAACTATGTTACTTCACAAATGTTAAAAGACCAACTCAATCTCATCCGTGGTGCTATCACGATTTGTTATCCTCAAGGATTGCCCAAGTGGGATGTTGTCCAGCAAGCGATTTCTGGAACATCCTCGTGTACATTTTTCTAATCTTTTACTTCCTCTTCACATTCGTGAAATCAGCTTTGTTCATGACATTGGACATTCTATTGAAATCTTGAACGAACCCTAATTTGCTTCCAATTGTTGATTCTTAAGTTGGAGTCTCAAGCATTTGTGGACTCCCAAAATTTCGTGTTCCCGATTTTCTTCTTCCGTGTGGATGATTATCAGTGAAGGAAACTCTGGATCCAGATACTACACGTTTATGGTGGGCAGGCAAAGAGATATTGCGTGACAAGTGTTTAAAGGATTACGTTGGCCAGAATGAAAAGACGAAGGTTTCCCCAATCACCTGTTGCTGAAACACACCACTGTAATAGTAACGCTTAGAATGCTCTTTGGACCGTTTTGCAAAGCATATTCCACGAGGCTGGGCACAAATTACATTTTATTCGTAGTGTGCAACACAAGATAACCATGAAGGTCGTATGTTCATCTTCATTATCTGAGAAGGCTGCCAGGATTTGTAGTATTATTGCGAAATCTGTATGAAGTTCTCATCAATAGGACTGGTGAATGTGGAACAGATAATTGTGAAGTTGCGGGCGCAAGGCTCAGGCTGCCCAGAACGGGAACCAGTAAGCGTCTGTCGAGGTCAGATGTGTCTCTTGTTACTGAAGATGGAATTTGTGGTTTAGGGTTAGCTTCTAACACGTAGTTCTAGCTGCACCATTGCAGCCAATTGACGCAGATACGCACAAGGCAATGATGGCCCATTATTTCAAGCAGCAAGAACAGCTGAAGGTAAGCATGCCCAAAAATCCAACATTGAACCAAATTGTGAGATTCTTTACAATCAGTTGTGCCTCGTGCATCACCATTTCGCTGCGACGTTAACCCGAAGCACGATTACGATGTCTTGGTGCTCGTGGCAGCGAATGGCTGAGGACGAGGATGATGCGTACATGAACGCGCAGTGGGCTAATCCCAAAGCTCTCAAGTCGCAGTTACACGGCATGGCCGCGAATATGCATTTCAAATAAAGTCTCCAATTGCAGAAGTGATGCATCTGCCAGTTGTGTAAGCAACTGGATGCAGTGTAGAATAGTGTGGGCTGCTTCTGGAGCTTTCCTTTGAGATCATCACAACCGACAAGAGCATTTACAGAAGTCATCACGCAGGAAACACAGATTTGAGGCACTCATACTACTCCGAGAAAGTAACGTGTGCTGGTAGTGACCGCATTGAATCACTACTCTGCCATTCTGATTGTTTGCCAACAGAAATATGAGTAATCGTTTGCCCTGCTGAATGACTCTCACCATCTTAGTGCTCACAGAAACGTCACTCTTGAAACTCAGCCAGCGTTTGTTCGTTGTTTTTCCTTGCCCAACCCGTCTCAAAAGCCAGGGAACCATACTCACATAGCTGGAAGCTAGGCAACCGATCAGCAAACTATTTTAAATTGATAATGGAGAGCACGTAGAACCTGATGCTTGTTGTCAGTCTTTCACCTTCTGAATGCCCTATTCTTGCAAATATGAAGCAATGTGCATGTTGGTCACACCCTCCCACACTTTCCCCGAGATCTACTACACCATCTCGTTGACGGTGGGTACATAAATGAATGATTATAGTTACGTAATGCATGGTAAAGTATATTGATATTACACTTTGGTATCAAGGGTTGCATAGGAGTGATTGCCACTACACCCTCGGAATCTCGAGCTTTGCGACGATCACAGTTTGATCAAGAGAACACCATCAGGAGTCGTACTAGTGCACCCCCTCTCCCCCCCTCCAGGTTAGCTTCAAGGAACACCCATTCAGCCCGAGGAATAGATCGAAAATGAACAGAAACTCTGTAGCTACGATTGGAACTAACACCGCAACCAATCAGGTGAGGGAATCAGGTGGAGAGATCCGCTCCTATCGTAGAGATTTCAACGCGGCTTACGGCAGGGACTGGACAACTCAGCCCTGAACGCATCCATGGAGGCCACGAAAAGCTCAGCAACTCCGAAGCAGGCTGAACGAGGCACCGACAGACAGCACGGTCATGGCGGCGAAGTCCCGAAGCATCATCCCCTCTGAAGCATTGGCTTTGTTGGTTGCTCCGTAAGATGGCTCCGTTCAACACATGCACAGAGCACAACTACACATGGTTATTCATTGAGCAACATATTAAAGACAAAAGATCAATATCATATTACTTTCTTATTGATATTATTTATCAAATTATAAGACAGATGTATTATTTGTATGATATGTGAATTGCTCATCAAGACCTAAAGTTGGACAATATGCTATTCAATATTATAGATGATGATAAATGTGATAATGGTTTTCAATATGTAATTATAAAGTTAATTGATTTTGGTTGGTCAAAGATTAATATAGGAAGGAATCCAAAAGCTAAAAAAAATGATTACATATATGGAACTTTAAGATATACATCTCAAGAAGTAATTAAAAGTACAATGAAATCTATGAAGACTTGTGCTTTTAAAGTAGGTGTATATTTTTTTTGCAATGACATGTTTTAAGTTTCTTTTAAGAAGAGATCCATTTGATGAATAAAGGAGAATTATTAAAAAGAACTAAAATAGATAAAAGATCAAAATTACCTTCAAATTATAAAAATCTTAGTAAATTGATTCAAAAATATTGTACTTTGGATCCTTTACAAAGATCAAGTTTTGCAAATATTTGTAAGAGATTCACAACATTGAAGAAGAAATACTTAGTGGAAATTGATGTAGCCAAAATATCATATTTTGGATCATTTAAGAAAGTAGGTGATAAAAAGAGGATATCAAAAGATAAGAAAGTTAATGTTTTATTTGTAAGTTTGAAATTAGAAATTTTGTTTAATTTAAGATATACATATTTAAACATATATTCTTTAATGATGTTATATTATCAAATTATGAACATGTGATTAGATTTTTTTATTAGAAACTATGATACAAATTGTATCTTTTGTTAATTTGATGATTTGATTATTTGAATAGGATCATGATTATGAAGAGAAGTTAATGGGTATAGAAGAACATTTATCAAACATCAAACAATTATGTTAGAAAGAAATAAATATATTATATTTTATTGATATAGATGGAATAGTAAAGACTACATTAGCATAGACTACATTTGATGACATACAACATATGTATGATTTATCATGCTTTATTGAAAGTATTAAAAAAAAGAATGATGGTTTTTCAACAATTGAAACCAAAGAATTTGGAAGAAACTCAAGAAATAATGAGAGGATTATTGGTGAATAAAAAGTTTATGTTAGTGTTAGATAATATAAAAAATAAAAGTCATATCAATGATGTAGTACTTAAGGATGTTTTGCATTCTAATCAAGGTAGCATATTCATTGTAACAATACAAAATTGGAAGGTGGTAAAAGATTATTCTACAAAGTTTTATAAATTTGAATTGATAAAATTAACAAAGATATAAGTTTGAAGTTGTTTAGAACTTATTCTTGTAGAGATCACAATATATTATCTAAAGAATTTATTGAGATAAGCAAACATATTGTAAGAACTTATAATGAACTATCCTTGAGTTTGAAAGTTGTGGGCTTATTTTTAGGAGGACAAATGAGGTTGAGATGTTGAGAAAGAGCTTTGCAAAAATTAAATAGAGGATGAGATTTTAATAGAGATAAAGAAAATAGTAATCATAAGCTATGAGCTATTTTCAAAATAAGTTTTGATGTCTTAAAAGTTGAAGAGAAGAATATGTTTTTGGATATTTTTTTATTTTTTTATTTTTTTATTTTTATAATAATATAAATTGGGGTGGTACAATGAAAGAGAATATATTACAAATATGGACCAATAAGAAAAACGAAGTTAAAAAATAAGATGAAAGTATTTTTTTTGGATATATTAATGCATCAATCAATGATAAAAACAGAAAAAATAAAGTTATAAAGGAACATGATCAATTATGAGATATTAGTCAAAGCATTGTTGGAAAAAAAAAGAATTCAAAAACACACAAATTTGGAATATGAATATGGTGCCAATGCATGGATTAATGACAAAGATAATACTTTCAAATAGCAATAGAATAATTGAAATATTATTATTAATAATAAAAATAAATAAATAAATAAATAAATAAAATAAATATAGGACATTGTAATAAATCTTAAGATTAATTGTATATTATGTGCATTGTAATATGAAATATTTTGATATTTTTATATATTTTAAGTGCTTAATAATGCTATAGATTATAATTTCTAATTCATATTTTTTGTATTATTTATTAATTAGAAGGCATTTTACTAGATAATAATATAAAAAATATGAATAAACGGTTTATTATAAAAAAATTCTTCTTTTATTCTCTAAGAATACTTATATGTAATATTGATAGAAATTCAAGTAAATACATCTTTAAAATATTTATTTATTTAGTAAAAAATGCTAAAAATATAAAGATTTTTTTGCTAAAAAATAAATTATATGTATGTTTTTTTAAGATAATAAAGTTACCATCTGAAATGTATAACAAAAAAATTTTAAAATTATTTGAAGAATTGAAAATATTAATTTTAATAGGATTTAAATCAAGTGAAATACTTTTGTTGGCACTATTTATAATTGGTACATTATTAAGACTTTTTTAAGCTTAATAAGCTTACTAAATAAATTAAAAAATCTTTCTTCTTTGAAAACACTTCATATGACTTATTTTTCAAGCTTGATAAGCTTGCTAAATGAATTGATAAATCTATCTTCTTTGATAACTCTTGATTTGATTCATTGCTCAAGCTTAATAAGCTTGCTAAATAATTGGAAAATTCTTCTTCTTTGATAATATTTGATTTGATTTGTTGCTTCAGTTTGACAAGCTTACTAATTGAATTGATAAATCTTTCTTCATTGATAAAATTTTACTTAAATAAATCTTAAATTCTAAATCCTAAACCTTTGTCATACTTCTTTGACAAAAGTTTTACTTAGTTATTTGCTTTTATTGGGTTCTTGTCTTTGATAGATCAATAAGAATGTACTTACAATATTAGAGCTTTGTCTTTTTTTGATTAAGAGAAGATTATCCCTATTTCTTGATGAGACATAAGCGTATTAAAAAATTATGGATTACCCTCTTCTAAACTAATATTATCTTTGGTATTTTTTTTATTCTCAAGTATTCTCTTCTATTTTTCTAGAGCAATATTAGATATTTTTTCTTCTCTAAGTGTTATCATGGCACTACTTCTTAAAATGAAGAGTGCAATGGCACAAATATAAGAGCAATTGAAGGAATTAATGCTTGCAATGCATTAATTGAATTTATTACTACAAAGAGCAACAATAATAGCAAGGAATAAAGATATAGAAATAATTAGAACTGCTTCAATATTTGCACCAAATCATGTCCCTTCTCTTATAGTGTAACATCCTTCTAGTGTTAGAAAATTAAAGACGGCACTACCTAAAAAGTTTAATGGCATAAGATCTAAGTTTTGAAGATTTATAAATTAAATATAACTTATGATTGAACTTCAATCTTAAAGCTATCCAACTCTAAGATTATAAATTAAATTCATTGATATATATTTTTTAAAATTTAGTATTATTATAGTTTTTATCTTTTTTTGAAAGATAAGATCCAATATTGAATAATTTAGAGGCTTTTTTGAAAGAATTTTGATCCATGTCTGGAGAATATAATGCAATTTGTATTACAACCATTAAGATCTGTATTTTGTGATAAAGCAATTGATTAGTAATATTATATACTTCATAGTTTTGACAACTTGCAACTGATATCAAAGAAGATGATGTTGCACTTATTAGCCAATTTCTTTATGGATTGTAATATGAGGTAAAAAAAAATTGATGTTCAACTTTTTGATCTTCAAATATTGAATCAAGCAATAGACTTTGTTGTAAAATATAACAATTGATTTTTTTGAATTTTGATTTAAGAATCACACAAATGCACTTCAATGTTACTATAATTCAATGGCCATACCAACATCTCTTTAATATACACATTTGAAAGCAAATGATATACAAATTAATGCAATACATTTCAAATCTCTTATTAAGAAAGAAAAGACTCATCATTGTCAAGAATGATTGTGCTTGTATTATGGAGAATCTAAGGATATTTCTCTACATTATCCAAAGAAGCAACGCAATTACAAAATAAGGAATATGATTGTCAAAGAAGATAGTATGTTAAAAAATAAGTTTGTTCAGTTATAATAATGACTGTGCGGCTGGAACCTGTCACGGCCATAAACATGTAAGCTAATAATTACATATAGAA